ACACAGCAACAACCATCCTCACTGTAACATTTTTATTATTCCAAATAGGAGGTTTGTAACCCCTAAATAATACCTGCATAGTCCCATCTCCCTCCAGTCAGTTCTGTTTTTATTATTTTCCTTTAAAGAATTATTATTTATTGTTTTTAAAATTTCCCATAGGGCACATGTGCTCACCAGAGAGACAGAAAGTGAGAAAGCAAGCTGCCTGGTCTGGGACTCAAACTGCAGTTGGCCATATGGGAATCCAGTGCTTCAACTACCCTACCACCCACCGACCACAGTTGTGTTTTTAAAATTATTATTATTTTTTTTTTAAAAATTTCCCAGACAGTTCATGTACTTGCTGGAGAGAGAGAAAGAGAGGGATCAGAAAGCATCCCCCTGCCCCCACCCCATGGGGGATGGCCATGTCACAATCCCTTCTCCACCACAGGGTTCTGGGCTCACGTGTCCCACATCCAGTGTTTTCTTCAAACCACCCACCAGGTCTGAGACTTAAAGTGCGCTGTCAGCCATGTGGGATCTAACTGCCTTAGCCACCAGGCCGCAGGATAGCCCAATCCTGGGTTTCTAATTAACGGGTGATACAAGAGATATTGGCAATTAATAATAACTTATCAGTGCCTGGAATTTGGTTTCAGAACCTAGTAAAAGTTATCTGTCTTTTAGTATATACCACTAAGATGTTTGCTATGAGAAAAATATCAAGTGCTCATCTATAAGAGTCGAGCTAATACTAATTCCTAAGGAATTAGGAATTAATGAGGATTAATGTTATTTTAGCCTTGTCTTGTATAGGAGCAGCCTCTCATCAAAACTTTGTTGTCACTGAGTACTGTTGTTTTTACTTTAAAAAACCTTTCTTAAAAAAATTTGTTTTTTAAAAAAAGGGACCAGCAGTTGGAGTAATGGCTATGTCGCTGGACTCCCACGTAGTTGACCACAGTTTAAGCCCTGGACCTGGTGGCTTAAACTCACACCGGGCGCATGTGCATGTGTGCCCAAGATCCTGAGAGGAGAACAGAGGAGAAGGGATTGCAGCGTGGCTATTCTCCTTGGGGGTGATCTCTTGCTTTCTGTCTCTCTGTCTTTCTGGTGAGTACACTTGCCCTATAGCAAAAACCTCTCAAAAAAAAAAAAAAAATTGTCAGAGGACATGTGTGCTTACCATAGAGAGTCTAAGAAACAGAGAAAAAGGGACAATGAAAAAGCACTCCCTAATTAGGCATGGCTATGCTGCAATCTTTCCTCCATTTCTTCATCCTGTGGAGCCCCTGAACATGCATGCACAAGTGCCCAGCATTTTCTCAAGTCACCAGGGCTGGACTTGTACCACATGGTTAGCTATGTGAGATCTGGTTCCCTTAACCACCAGGCTACAGAGTGGCCACAGCTCTCTTTTCTACTTTTAAAAAAAGTTTGTTTATTTCTTCCATGAGCAAGATGTATACTGAGAGAGAGAGAGAGAGAGAGAGAGAGAGAGAGAGATGGCACCCCAATAGGATGTTGATGCTGAGAGCTACCCTCAGTCTTTAGCCAGCCCTCGATCATGGCACATACTCAGGGAGAGCTCTGGACTTGAACCAGGAACCTTCCTGTGTGGGACTGTCTAGCAGAGTGTTTTACCCTGTGTCACTGTCTGACTCACTATTTCCCTACCTTTAATGCTGCACTATATAGTAGGTTCAGAACTTTAGAGTAAATGAGACTTTATTAGGCTGATCAGTAAAATCACACAGCTTTAAGAGCATCCTTGCTCCCTCTCTCAGAGACTCTGACTTGATTAGTCTGGGCTAAGGCATGGGGTGTCAGGGGATGTAAAAGCCCTCCTTGAAGCCAGGGTTGGGAATCTCCACTTTAGAACTTTACCTACAACCCAAAATCGCTTTTGAATTTTTCATTTATCATGCTTTAAAAACAAAAGACCTGCTTAAGCCTGGTCAATCAAACAAATGACTTTGTTCCTGATCATTAATATACAATCTTATTTTCTTTTGGAAATCAATCTAATGGAGACAGCAGTTAGCGTTTAGTGTGCAAGGCATGGCGCTAAGAAATTTATACATCTTATTCTGTTTAGTCCTCATACAAACCCATGACATATTATTATTCCTGTTTGAGAGAGGAGGGAACTATGACTTAGAAGATGAATTACTTTGCTTAAGATCACACTCCAGGTAAGCAGGGAAACTGTGGCGTCAAACTGAGGCAGAGGGACAGCAGACTTGACTGTTAGCCACCAGACGCTCTGCTGGCATCTCTATAAAAAGCCTTTAACATAAAGTTTCGCACAGTACTCACAGCTTACTGACCGAATTATAGATTTGTAGGAGCCTCCAAAGATGTCATGAAGGTTCCAGGCTATCACTATTTCTGCTAATAGGTTAAAAAACCATGGCTATTTCTGAGTTGCCACGGGTTTTCTCTGAGGCTTCTTTTTCCTCCATGCTTTTCCACAGCTAAATTCCAGGCATAGATGGTTAAGTGTTTATCTGCCTTTGGAAAGACATTAGGGTTCTGGCCTATAGGTGTTGCATAATTCATTCTTTTTTTTTTTTTTTTTTAATTTTTTAGAGGTTTTTGCCTTAGTGTGCATGTGCTCCGTGGGGGAGGGGGAGAGACAGAGAGAGGGAAAGGGAGAAATCACCCCTCGGGGATATGGGCATGCTGCAGTCTCTTCTCCTCCGTTCTCCTCCCGGGATCTTGGCATGCACCCACACATGCCTGGCGTGATTTTCAAGCCACCAGCCCAGGACTCGAACTGCGGTGACCTTGTGGTAGTCCAGTGATGTAACTGCTAAGCCATCTGCTGGTCCTGCATAACTCATTCTTTTATTTAAAAAAAAAAAGCTTTTTGGGAGGAGATTATTTTCCAGGTGTAAGATGCTTTAAAGATTCCTCTGTCTCCCAGATCACAGTTGCCCTACAGGGAAGGGAAACAGGATCCTGTTTCCTTCAGAAGGAAAAAATGGAGTGTGGATATGGCTTCAGGACTAGTGTCCTTTGTCTTGTTTCTCAGAACTGGAAACAAACAAACAAAAATATCCCGAGGCTAGCTTAGAGCTCTGAGCCTATATATTCCAGCCTGGCGGCTTTTACCCCTTTGAGAAAACAATGGACATCATGAACCATCTACCCAAGTCTTAAAAGCACAACAATTTTCAAATGATTTCAGAGAGAGCCATGCACTTTCCAGGTAGCACAGGTTGAGGACCTCGGTCTGGAGGAAGTTTCAGCCCTCCTTGAATGTACTTTCTTGGTCTTGGGCCCTTCCTATCACATATAGTTTCCAACTGCAGGGTTCTTAAGTCTAGTTTTCTGTTAAGGAAAAATTTTAGGCAGCAAAATCATCTCAGAAAAATGAATCTTGGTATGCTCTGATGATAGTTGAGGCACAGTAGACCTAAGCTTAAAATAAAGATGGCTGGTGGTGGCCAGGAGCTTCCAAATGGAGGACAGGAAAGTCAATGGAGTAGACCGAGTTGCTGGGTCTAGAGCCACTAGTTGCAAAGTAACTTGTTAACTGCCTCCTGAATCTCTTTTTTTATAGTTAATATTGTGATGGGCTCTAGACATACCAAAGAAGAAATATAGTATCTTCCAAAAGCTGTTTTTCTTGAAGTTGAGGACCTGGCCTGAACTATCTTTTTTTTTTTTTTTTTTTTTAGAGGTTTTTTGCTATAGGGTGTGTGCGCTCGCCTGACAGACAGAGAGAGACATAGAGACAGAAAGC